GGGATTCCTCAGAGGAATTAGAATTTTAAGGGATGTGAAAGAAGGGATCCTTTTGAAGAACAGTTTAAAAAAGACTACTGGAGTCTAGGTAAAAAGTGTGGATGTGGGGAATTCCCTGGCGGTCCAGTGGTTAGGACTCAGTGCTCGCACTGCCGAGGCCTGGGGTTTTGTCCCTGGTCAGGGAACTAAGATCCCACAAGCTGCACGGCAAAGCCAAGAAAAAAAAAAGTGTGGATGTGGGGAGAGTTCTGGGGAGTAAAAGCCAGCATGAGAATAAGAGAGTCGGTGGGGTAAGGGCACAGCAGGAGAGGGGATGAAGGAAACCTGGCCAGGGCTGCTGGACCTGGACCTGGACTCGGCGGGGGCAGGGGGCGGGGCGTTGGGGGGGGTTGCCCAGTGCCTGGATGGTCAGTGTTACGGGGGAAGTTAAATAACTGAAAACATGGCACGGGGAGGCAGGCAGTTTTAGGAACTTTAAACAAGTTCATTGAGAAGATATTTTTATTATAAATGAATTTGGGGGAAACAGGCCTTACTGAAGAAAAGCAGAATGCAACTCCTGTCAGGAACGTTTCTGGGTTTATGGTTTGGGACTTCAGTGAGGTGACAGAATGCTCCCTTGAGGAGGTCTGAAGATGCTTCACAGCTTTCCTACACGGTCCACATAAAGATCTACACACACAGATTTATCGCTACGTTAATTAATCCTGAGTCAGGCTTAGAAGCTGCTAGTACTCAAACTCACCACATCGTAGGTTTTGAGGAAATTCTAATATTTGTCACAGACATATTTTCTGGTAGCTCCTTTTCTCTTGGCCTTTTCAAGTTTTTGTGTTCCTTTGTTTTCATCTGTGGAATCTGAGTTTTATTTAAAATTCCAGATGGCTGACTGTCCGTAGTTGAGTGTTTATTGTTTTTTTTTTCCACTTTCTTTTTTGAAGTGGCTGTTCTCAACATCAATGCCATATTTTGCTTTTGTAAATGTAGTTTTAAAAATTAATGATAGATTATATGTATATAGTAAAATGAGCAGCTGTTGTACCTAATTGTAACATTTGAATAATAAACATTCTCACCGTTTGTCTATTCAGCCTAAATATGATTTCTTGCAGTGCAGAAAAATCTCCTTGGAAGCTTTGTCATTGTCATTTTACTTTAAGTTAATGCTTGCCTATTTTAGGTTCCCTGTGATTTTTTATTTCAGCTACCCCTGGTCCCCAGGAAATTTCTAAAAAATTTTTCAAGGCTGATTTTATTTGTATAGATTTTACCTGTATATTTTTAAGGTTCAACCAAAAAGTTGAAATGAAAGTAAGTTTAACTGTCACCCCAGATACCATCAGGCATTTTTAAAAGGTCTATTATTATGTTTGAAGAGAAACTAAAGTATCTTATTACAGGAGAAAGCAAAGAGCATTTTTCTGGGTCTCTAGAGATGGCATTTCCTGTCTCTCCTCTGATAGGAGAAAAGAGCTGTGATGACTTCACTCCGTGCCTCCAAAAGAAGTGCTTATTATCTTTTTCTAGAGAACAATTCCTCTTTATTTAGAGCTTGGAGACGCACTTTTTAGATCCACACTTGCTATCTGCCCAGCGAAGAAATGTTTGACCATTGTTTGTTAATAAACAACAAACACATCTGGCAAGCTGGTTGGTTTGTTTAACTTGGTAACTGTTAAGATAGCTTCTCCGATTAAAGGAGGGAAGATGGAGCTGGTTACAAAGGGCCGCTGCTATTTAGGTCATGGGATGCTCAGAACTGTCAGAAGCGCTTTTGTTCCATCCATTAGTTTCCTAAGGGATCAGGCAGCACAAGGTTGTTTTTGTGTGTTGTAGGCAAATCCGTTTTGGAGGAACACATACTAGGCAAGAAAGACTGGAAGGAAAATCAGTGACATATAGATTTTTTTTCTTAAGCTACATGAAATGCAATCACAGGTGTAGTTCTCAGATAATTGTTTCGGTTCCACCGAATTGTGGTGTCACGGGGTGTGTTGTGACAGGAGTCCGTCCTGGCCAAAAGCTCACCAGTAACGTCAAGCAAGGTCCACACCGTGCTTGAAAAATAAATTTATTTTTGCACCTTGGAATGAAGAAGTGACAAGAGAGTTTACTATGCAGTAGATTTTCAATAAAAATCATCCTTCATGCTTCCAAAAACATGACCTTTTTTGGAACACTATTGTCTTCGGAGAAGATTCCTTTGCTAGTAGAGCCCAGTCCACCTTTCCTGTGCCGCGTCCGTCACTTCTCCATGTTCTTTGTGTGCGTTTCCTCTCCATCAGGACGGCCCGGGCTGTGAAGGAGCTTTCGTTTTGTGAAAACATTCATTTCAGAGTTGCTGTCGAGCTGGAGCGGAAGCTTAGAGCCCAGCTCTGAATTGGGTGCCGAGCTTTTCTTTCTCTTTTTGTGTCTGTCTTTGAATCTCGAAGTAAGATTTGGGGGAATGGAGGTATCTTTTCTGCAAACTGCAGAACACAGGGGACCTGCTTAGGAAATGGGGCTGGTCCTCTGGACTGTTTGGGACAATGACGAGGGTCTCTCAGGGCCGAGGGGCACAGCTGAGCCTTGGTCTCCCTCCGGAGCCTCCTGCCCCCCTACCTCCCCAGGCCCTCCCTCCCTCCTTCCTTCCATCCTTCTTTAAAATGATACATGTGGCTTTCAGAAAACCTGTACTTCCTCCAAAGCTCCCTAACTCTGCTCTCAGCTCACCTTACTCCTCCCGAAGCCCAATCCTTTCTTGCTTGTTTATTCCTACCTTCGACTCCATTTCTTTTCGGTCCTATCCCTGTGTCTATTATGAGACTTGAAAAATGAAGCCCCACGGGGCTCCTCTAGACCAAAAAATTGCTCGATGGATAAACCTTGCTGTCAAGAGGCGCTTAACATGGTGAAACGTGACCTCAGAGGAGAGACAAGAAAACATTCCCTTATAAAGGAGCACTGTTCTTAAAAAAAAAAAACAACCTGATTTTGTCTCCTCCTCCCTGGCCTCCCAGGAGTCAGCTACCTTTTGTGACTTGGCTAAGCCATAGGCGCTGACGACTGAGAGAGAAGGCTCTGAGGCTGTACCGAGGGGACCTGTCTGTGCCTGTCCCCCTGTCACCGTGCCTTCTCTACAGCACACCCTTCCCAGCCGCGCTTACCTCGGCGGCCAGAAAACAGACAGCACATTCAAGCCTAGTCATTGAGGGAAGGCCATTTATTAAAAGGAGCATTTACCACTTGTGGAAAGGGCTCAGGAAAAGCAGTGAGGGATGGAGCGGTACCCCCAGGCTAATCATTGGTGGGGAGCTGCCGTGGCCCTGGGTCTCAAAGGGCAAGGCAGCCTTGAAGGAACTTCAGAGATCAGCTGCAGAGGTGCTGCCTGACAGGAGCTGTGGCCTTTGGTCAAAGGACCTGGCCAGCCCCTGGCATCCTAGCGAGGGAAAGCTGCAGATAGAAATTCACGCCCTCTGATATGCCAGAACCCGCTCCGTGGCAAATCTGACAGAACCAGAGGGCAAGGGCTTCTGTTCACGTAGTCCGTGCAAGTCTGAACAACCTTGGAATCACTCGGACCCCTCCGTACCTCACAGCCCACCTCTGATCTGATTCGCCAGCAAATCCTAGTCGTTTTCCTGATCAAAGGACAGCCAGAATCTGAGCCTCTGTCACCACCTGCACTGCTACCCCATGGTCCAAATCTCCATCATTTCCAGGGTTGGAGAGAGACTCCCACCTGGAACCTTCCTTTACGGCATTTACAGATCCCCCGCTCATTCATACAAAAACCCTACGAGACCCTGCACAGGCTGCCCCTTTCTTCTCTGACCCCATCTCCTCATATTCTTGAGGTTCACTTTGGTCTGGCCCTCTGGTGTCCTTGATGGTCAACACCAAGCGCATACCTGCCTCAGGGCCTTTGCAGATGGCAGGGAGATGAATTTTAAGTTTTAAGAAAATCTAAGTAATGGAAACATCTATCCACACAAAACTTATACAGATGTTTGCAGCTGCATTATTCATAATAGCCCCAAACTGGGAACAACCAAATGCCCATTAGCTGGTGAATGGACCAACAAAATGTGGTATAGTCACCCAAAGAGATATCACGCCGCAATAAAAAAGAATAAAGTACCGATACATGTGATCACGTGGATAAACCTTGAAAACATTAGGCTAAGTGAACATTATGAAATAATGAAGGCATGATGTCAGTCACAAAAGACATCATATAGTACGATTGCATTCATATGAAACTTCCAGAATAAGCAAATCTATATAGACAGGAAGTGGTGTGGTGGTTGCCTAGGGCTGGGGAGGATGGCGGGTGACAGCTAAGAGGTACGGCGTTTTTTTGGGGGGTGATAAAAATGTTCTAAAATTGGTGAGGGTTGCCTATTTTGTGACTATACGAAAATCCATTGAATTGAACAATGTCAATGGGTGAACCTTTTGGTATATGAATTACATCTCAAAGCAATTAAAAATAAAGATCAAAGTGATTGCTGTCTTAAAACATTCCTGTCATTTTTACAAGTGGTGTATGTAAGTCTTAGCATTCAGTATTATTATAGCTAAAGTTTGAAAGTCAACTCTTGACTATTACTGTTTTCATTTCCCGTTTATTTTTTAACTCTTAAATTTCTCTGGCATGCACATGCTAGATAGTCAATATTTAAATATCATTGAAGTTGGGCTTCCCTGGTGGCGCAGTGGTTGAGAGTCCGCCTGCCGATGCAGGGGACACGGGTTCGTGCCCCGGTCCGGGAAGATCCCACATGCCGCGGAGCGGCTGGGCCCGTGAGCCATGGTCGCTGAGCCTACATGTCTGGGGCCTGTGCTCTGCAGCGGGAGAGGCCACAGCAGTGAGAGGCCCGCGTACCGCAAAAAAAATAATAAAAATAAAAATAAATAAATAAATAAATAAATATCATTGAAATGGATGAATTTTTCTTTTCTCAAGTGTTAATATGAGAAAGAAGGGGTACTAATTATGGGTGTGTTCCCCCCTCCAGCACTTTCATGACGGACGGAAGGCACAGCAGCACATAGAGACTTGCTGGAAGCAACTAGAATCAGTAAGTGAAAACCCAACCTCTCAAGAAATGTCTTTATAGATTTTCTCGTTTGAATTTAACTTAAGCTTGAATCAACCAGCAAGTACAAAACAGAGACACTATTTATTGTCTTTAGAGATTTTTATAATTTGAATTTAACTGGTTTCTAGAAATCATTGCTGAAAGTAAAATGTTAAGCCCAAAAGAGTCCAAGCAGAATCTTTTTCTAAAAATCATATGGAAAGAACAAAGATCAGACAGTTTGGATGGAAATAAATGTGGATTTTAAAATAACTTCCTGAAATGATGACACGGAACAAATCAGTTTGGAGAAGAAAGCTTTCGGTGGAGGGGGGGCAGGCGGATGTCGATAAAATTACATCTTCTCATAAGAATCTCATGGTTTCATTAAAAATTACTTTCCCACCACCATCTTCCTCTGCTTTTAGAGTAAAAGACGTTTTGAGCGGGATTGCAAAGAGGCTGACCGAGCCCAGCAGTACTTTGAGAAAATGGATGCTGACATAAATGTTACAAAAGCAGATGTTGAAAAGGTAAGGTGAAAGTGAGGGTCTTTCTTTCATTTCCCTTTTTAACGTTCATCACGTATCCTCCCAGACTGCTGGTTCCCAAGTTCTCCTTTCTGCTGCAACCACAAAAGGCCACTTTACTTGGGATCATTTTCGTTTTGTGTCAACGGAGGGATGTTGGCGGTGGGGTGGCAGGGGGAGAATCTAAAATTTGGGGAGTCTTCGGTGTTATGATTTGAGCAGTTTGTTGATTTATTTAGTCATCAGGATGATAACACGGAGACTTAGACCATGAACATACCTTAGGGGGTGGTTTCCGCAGACCGTGGTTCTCTCTTAATGGCTTTTCAAAGAAAAAGTCAACCTCTTAAAAGCTGGAGCAGACTGTCCAGTGCCATCTGGAAGAGCTCGGCCGCTTACAGTGCTTCTGTTAAAAAGGTAAAGAGATTCACACGAGTGGCCTGTGTTCTAATGGATTCATTCAGGTTGATAACAGGTTGTACTTGAAGGCTTGCATTGGAAAGTCCTCCCAAAAGCTTTTCCCGAAATGGACTTGTATTGGCAATTAGGAATATTATTATAAAGCTTGTACTGTGTCTTCCTGTGGTTCCCTCTGTGTTTTTTTCCCTGGAAGTTAAAGTTTCTTTTTATAAAAGTCATCAGTGTTAGTGTAAACAAAACTGGGCTATTAAATAACAGTATTCATTCGTGACTGCCCAGGGCTACTTTGGCATTCACAGACTCACGCTTTAAGTGGGGAAAAACCCTGCTTTTTTGCAGATTTCTTTCACTTTTGCCAGATTATTTGGAGTTGAATTTGCTCAGAAAATAGTGTGAATTAGTTATTCATTGCCCAATTCTGCCAGATTCCTTGCTTAAAGCCTAGGTATATATTAGCATGCCTTCCTCTAAAATTATCTAATATATTAGAAAACACATTCTTAATGTCTATATTTGATCTTGAGTGGAGACATTTACTTTACCAAAAGATATATTAATTTGCTGGTAAAGTTACCCATAAATTACCGTAAATTTGTTATAAGTTCTCATAAAATATTAATTCCCTGAAGTATTTAATATGTTATTCCATTAAAGTAGATTGACCCAAAGTTTATCCAAAAAACATTTGGGGTTAAAGGAGGTAAAATCAGTATATGTGTCCCAGAAACATGCCTGGCACAAAGGTATGCATTCTGTAGCAAATATTTTATTACTCTAAATGTAAAATTGGAATGATTTTTATTTATTGAAAGACTTTTTAAAAACCATTACTATTATGACCTTGTCTTAGAAAAAAAGCTATCTATCCTTGCTCATTGTAGAAATACCTGAAAATACAACCAAATGAAGTGGGAGAAAAAAATTAAAACATCCAACTATGGTTAATAAAATACCTTTCAGAGCCTCCACCATTCCTTCCTGGTCTCTAAACAAAGGTACTTGACTTTTTTTTTTTTTTTTTTGGCCGTGCCGCGTGGCTTGCGAGATCTTAGTTCCCTGACCAGGGATCGAACCTGTGTCCCCTGAAGTGGAAGCACAGAGTCCTAACCACTAGACTGCCAGGGAATTCCCTCAGAGCCTTTTCTTTAAAAAAGATGATGTATACTACACATGTACAGTGTAAAGAATAGTAACAAAGGGAACAGCTGCTAATCCACAACCTATCTTAAGAAATAAAAATCTTACTGTTGCCTTTCAAGTCTCCCTTCCTAACTTCATCCTTCTCTTCACTCTAGAGGTAAACTTTATCCTTAATTTGGTGTTAATCATCTCCTCGCTTCTTCATAGCTTTACCTTAGGTGTCTGTATCTCCAAAGAGTTTATTTCATAATTTTGTGCACTTTTCACCTTTATAGAAAGAAAATCATACTTTCATTTCTTTTCGTGTGACTTGACTGTTTTTCATTTGATATTATGTTTTTTACTTAATTCATGTGGACTATAGAACACATAACTTTTATATATTAATTTTAGAGCCAGATGCTTGCTAAACTCTCTTTTTATTTCTCTTTTGGGGTTTTCCGTAGGGACAGTCATAACACCAGCAAATAATGGCAGTCTTATATCTTCTGTTTCAATCTTTATGTCTTTTATTTATTTCTCTTATCTTGCTCTTCTGGTTACGACCTCTATTATGCTGGCAGTAGCAGTTATTGTGGACTTCCTTATCTCGTTCTAGATTATAAAGAGGGTGCTTCAAATGTTTCCCCATTAAGCATGATTATAATATACCCTTTATCGGGCTAAGGGATTTCCCTTCTTTTTCTATTTTGCCAACAAGTTTTTTGTTTTTTTTTTTGTTTTTTTTTTTTGCGGTATGCGGGCCTCTCACTGTTGTGGCCTCTCCCGTTGCGGAGCACAGGCTCCGGACGCGCAGGCTCAGCGGCAGTGGCTCACGGGCCCAGCTGCTCCGCGGCATGTGGGATCTTCCCAGACCAGGGCACGAACCCGCGTCCCCTGCGTCGGCAGGCGGACTCTCAACCACTGCGCCACCAGGGAAGCCCCAACAAGTTTTTTTTTAAAGCTTGACTTAATATTGAACATCATCAAATACCTTTTCTGCTTCCTTTAATCCATTAACGGGTAGATTACATTATTAAATTTTCTTGTATTGAACCAAATTAGCGTTCCTCGGACGAATATAACTAGGTTATGATGTATTTTTTTTTTATACAGAGCTGAATTTATTTTGTTAACATTTTAAGATTTTGCATCTATAGTCATTGAAATTGATCTGTCATTTTTCTTTCTTGACTGTTGTAGTTTGCTTTACTTCTTTTTTTTTTTTTGCGGTACGCGGGCCTCTCACTGTTGTGGCCTCTCCCGTTGCGGAGCACAGGCTCCGGACGTGCAGGCTCAGCGGCCACAGCTCACGACCACCGGCCCCAGCTGCTCCACGGCATGTGGGATCTTCCCGGACCGGGGCACGAACCCGCGTCCCCTGCCTCGGCAGGCGGACTCTCAACCACTGCGCCACCAGGGAAGCCCTGCTTTACATCTTTTTAGTTGTGGAGTGTTGCTCTTTATTCTCTGGATAATATATGTGAGACGAAATTAACTGTTCCTTAAATATTTTGTAATCCTTTATTGTGGGAGAGTTTCTAACTACTGATCCAATTCCTTTATTGTCTTTTTCTTTGGTTGATCCTGGTATGTTATATTTTTCTAAATATATCCATCTCATCCCAGGTTTTCAAATTTAGTGGCCAAAAGTTGCCCATAATATTCTCTCACCTTAATTTTTTGCTGCATATATTGTGTGTCCCCCTTATTTATTCCTATTATTATTTATTTATACTTTTGGGGGAGGGCCTTTTTTTTTTTAATCAATTCTTATTTATTGATTGATTTACTTGGCTGCATTTGGTCTTAAATGTGGCATCTGGCATCATCGTTGTGGCATGCGGGATCTTTCAATGCGGCGTGGGCTTCTCTCTAGTTGTGGCACGTGGGCTCCAGAGTGCACAGGCTCAGTAGTTGTGGCGTGCAGGATTAGTTGCCCCACGGCATGTGGGATCTTAATTCCCTGACCAGGGATCGAACCCACGTCCCCTGAATTGGAAGGCGATTCTTAACCACTGAACCACCAGCGAAGTACTGGGAAGGGTCTGTTTTGTTTTGTTTTGTTTTAATAATGTATATATATTTTAATTTTTATTTACTTATTTATTTTTGGCTGTGTTGGATATTTGCTGCTGCGCGTGGTCCTTCTCTAGCTGCGGTGAGTGAGGGATACTCCTCTGTGGTGCGGTGGCTTCTCTTAGTTGCAGAGCACGGGCTCTAGGCGCACGGGCTTCAGTAGTTGCGGCACATGGGCTCAGCAACTGTGGCTCACGGGCTCCAGAGCACAGGCTCAGTAGCTGTGGTGCACGGGCCTAGTCGCTCCATGGCATGTGGGATCTTCCCCGACCAGGGCTTGAACCCGTGTCCTCTGCACCAGCAGGCAGACTCCCAAACACTGTGCCACCAGGGAAGTCCGAGGGTCTGTTTGTTTTTTTTTAAAGGACATTAATGGTCTTCATCTTTTATTTATTTGTTTGTTTGTTTTTGGCCACGCCGTGCAACATGTGGGATCTTACTTCCCCGACCAGGTATCAAACCATGCTCCCTTCAGTGGAAGCGCAGAGTCTTAACCATTGGACCGCCGGGGAAGTCTCGAGGGTCTGTTTTTTAAAATCATTTTTTATTAGTATTTTACAAAAACCAAAAGTTATCTTTATGGAACTTCTTTTTACTTTCTATTTTATTTATTTTCTTTTTCTTCTTCTTCCTCCTCTTCCTCTTCTGTCAATATCTTTGGATTTATTTTATTGCCCTTTTAAAAATTTCTTTCTTCAGATGCTTTTCTCATTTCAACTTTTCTTCTTTTCTAATATAAGCATTTAATGAACAAAGTTTCCATTTAACTACTGTTTTATTTGCAACCCACGGATTTTGGTATGCAGTAGTATTATTATTGTTCATTTCCTGATATTTTTCATTTCTTTTACTATTTAGTCTCTCCAGTAATTTATTTGGAAGCGTATTTTTAAATTTCCAATTGTATGACGTTTTTAAACTTATCTTTTTGTTAATGATTTCTAATTTAATTGCATTGTGGTTATAGAAAGTCTGAGTTTGAGACTTTTACGTTTGTTGAGACTTGTCTTATAGCCTAGTACAGGGTCAGTTTTTATAAGTGTTCTCTAAGTAATTGAAAAGAATGTGTATTTTCCATTTCTTGGTTGCAGAGTTCTACATTTTTTCATTAGAGCAAACTTGCTGATTACCCACATCTTCCCATCATTAAGGATTTTTTGTCTGCTTGTTGTAATGTATTTTGATAGAGATATATCACTTCTTTGTGCCTCACTTTCCTTGTCTGTAAAATGGGAACGCAGAAGGAAACGATTGGTGCGAGTGTTGGTTGAGATAATATGTACAAGATACTCAAAGCCATTTATGGCAGTGGCCAGTGATCATTACATTAACTATTGTGATGATAACGATGGAAGATTTGTCATTTTCTGTCCATTTTGCTCTTC